ACAGATGTAAGTTTGGCGTAGAACATCTCTTTCATGTCAAGTTTACAAACATCGGTAGGAGCGTACACAGCAATAAGAGACATGAAGCCAAAAGATAGCTTCAATCTCAATACCATTATACGCTCATCAACAGGAGTAACCTCTACTACCGAGGGCTGGATTCTGCTGGAGATGGCAATGGCTACTCCCTGGAGATGGTGGCCGTCGCTGCGGCCCGACCAGTAATAGGTGTAGCCACCTACACTGGTCATGCCGCTGCCAGGCCTCCTCACCTCCGAGAGAACAGCCACCTCAACTTTCAGCCTCCCCAGTTCCCTCGACAGTAGAAGCAACCGATCATCCTGACGCAAAGAACAGATGTTCCAAGCCCCCACCCTGACTTCCCGCCTGAGGTTCAGCCTCTAGCAGTCACTCCGAGTGGATGCCACCTCTGCCACCCCCACCAACGCTGCCCCGTATAAAAGGGGGTGGCGGGCTGTGTACCCCAACTCACGCATATCAATATCAAGCCACCCACCATATCAACCCTATAGCCCATAAGATACAAGATTAGATGTATTATCTGTCTTCACAACAAGAAAGGGTTCAATTTTGCCATGTCAGGATCCCCAGCAATGAGCATGCAGATGCCTTAGCATCCATGCGTTGGGAGAGCCCGCATTATCCACAACCCACCTACCCTGCTTTTCACACATTCCAGCCACTGACTACTACCCCTATTTCAAAACTTTCCACTATAACTGTTGGCAATCTTTCTGGTCAGGTCTGACCAGATAACCAATCCATCTCTCCTTGGTTGGCTCCATACCACCGAAACAGACACCGGGAAACTACTCTTGCCCATTGACAAATAGATCATACCTGCCTCTTGCATCTACACCACACTCCAACCCAACCCTGTACTCCTCATGCAACGTTCATCTTTCAGTCCAACGTATCATATTATCCTGCCTCCGCTTTGCTGAAACTTGTACCCTCATTTTACCTAACGTCCTCTCTACTCCGATACCCCAACCTTTTGGACATTCTCACAGAATCCCCCACCTTTTCAGTTAGCAATCTATTCTCCTTCTTCAGATGATCAAATTATCCTTTATCCTTAATGCTACCACTTCTATCAATCCCTATACTACCCCATTTACTCCCCTTCTCTTTACCCTTCATTAGCATACCATCTTACAGTGTCATATGACCATTATATATGTCATATATATATGTCATATGACCTAAGACATTTTGTTCTAATAAAGAACTCAGTTAAACCCCTTTCACCGCAATACTTTACCATAATGCTATATGACCTTTGATGTCTAGCACATTTGTTTGTTTACGCATTAAACAACCATTGTAAAAAAAAAAAAATCCTAAATCCATTGCATTTACTTCACTATGATTTTTTCATTATCATTTTGATGTGGAATTTTTACGACCTGAGAATCTCAAAAACGCAAAAACACAAAAACACATATATGGTATTATGAGACTGTACTGAATGAAATTCACCACATTGGTATTAGCTAAATTGTTGCCCAGTGATAATGCTATGTCACAAACTACACAAAGTATTAGCTCTTTGTTCTTAATTGTATCATTCAAACTATTATACGAAAGGAAAGGTTTTGAATAAAATATCAATCTGTTTTGTAAACTGTATTGCTATCAATGATAAGTAGGTTTCAACATGCATAATATTTTATGTAATTTTCCCAGCTTACTTGGCGAGAAGATGGTGTTTTGTCAGCGTTTGCACCCAACCAGTCATCCTTAGAAGAAGCAAGAGAAGTCCTGAATGAATTATTGAAAGATAATGAACCTACCTTAGAATTTGGTGCTATCTACACTGCTACAGTTGTTGAGTTGAGGCCCCAAGGGGTTATGGTAACTCTTTATGATGATATGCCACCTGTATTGCTCCATAATTCTCAGTTGGACACTAGAAAGGTAATTATGTTATAATATCCCGCAAACATAATTTCAGGTAGTGCATCCTCTGTGTTTTGAATAAGTGCAATTAACCCTATCATGACAGGACCAGAATTGTCTGTAATGTAATCACACAATTACACAACAGATAAAACTTTCTGGCTGGGTTTGTGCCCACTTCTGTAGAGCGAAGCATGACACTATATGACATAATACCCAAATACATCATGGCAGCAATAGCTATATCCATCACTGAGGGGTCAAGTAAATATAAATTAGTTTTATTCTTTATTTTCTTCTCTTTTATTCAAATTAATATTTTGTACATCTCATATAGATAAGCGATAGACCTTGCATTTTGATGGACTTTAGTTATTGCAATTTTTTTCCTCTGCATTTATTTATTATTATTATTTTTTTTTTTCTTATTTTTCCAAGCTACTCTATAGCATGTTCTGAGAATTAAGAGAGAGAGAGATTACAAAAACAGAAATGTATTAATTATATAAACCTTACATGATTTCTATGTTCTGATAAATTATCTATACCATTACTCAAGGGGATCTACCATTTTAACTGATTTTGAAAAAACTATCAGGCCTCCACCATCGGAGCCTCACCAGATCCCCCATCAATACAACTCCTCTCCGGCATCCAGCCATACCTGTGGGAAGTCACACCCACAACACTCACTCACTAAAGAGATAATAGACACCATGGCAGAGTTCACCATAAATGTACATGCCATGGCTGTAGTGGACAAAGTAGCAGATGGCATCGTATCACGATTATTCCTGTGCCATTGGCTTATTGGACCAAGCTTGTTTTTCTCCTTTAGTAGCAGCTCCATTTATATGGTAAAGCTTTTAGGCAATAGCACCTAAAGTGAATGTAAACCTTCAAATATTAATATTATTAAAAATTATAGCAAAATAAAAGCTTTTAGGTACCAAATAAGCCGGGTGCAACGGGGAAACTGCTGATGCACACCAACAATCTCACGATCATGTCCACTTGCCAAACTCCTTTTTACCTGGGATAAATGGGTTAAGAAGTATCCAATTTGACATAGGTATATTTATTTGTGAGGTACATCTTTACAACTTGACACCCCAATATTTGTGCCCTGTCTTCTTGAAGTAAAATGAATTCCAGATACATGCTTGAGTACTAACTGATAAAAGTCCTTTATCCAGTGCCAGTAAATGGCATCTAAACCTCCATGCGTTGGGAGAGCCCAAATTCTGTATGGTACCTTTACCTGCCATGTATTATAGGTATGTTTACTGAGGTGGGATACATGATTGTATTTATTTATAAAGTCACTTATTTTTTAACAGATCCAGCATCCTAGTGTTCTTGGTCTTGAAGCTGGCCAGCAAATCAAGGTTAAGTATTATGGCAGAGATCCAGCCTCAGGTCACATGAGGATCTCTAGACGAGCACTCCAAGCTTCCAACATAGTTGCAAGAAATCTGCATAAAACTGAACCTGTATAAACAATAATTTGAAATGTAAATTAAACTTTTGTATATATTTACCATTATTTTTTATTGTTACCTATTAAACAATTACAGATGGAAAAAAATGTATATATCCTGTTGCTCATATGTTATATATCAAGACGAAAACTAAAATATACATTCTTGTTACCTATACATGATTACCTTTTTACCTACTAATTTTTGGTGATGATTTTATTTAAGGTAGGGGCAAAGCAAGGCTAAGCTTTTCAAAGAATTTTAATTTGATAAGGGAAATTGCAACTATAGTTATTGATTATTTGGAACCTGCATTTTGACATGGGTGTAATGATTAATTTTCCATCAAAAAGAATATAAGGCAAATTACCTGTAAAGGCAAAATAAAGTTTTGAGATGACAAGATTTCCCAGTAATTATGTCTGATTCCTTTGAGTATCTTGATTAACAAATGTGATACTAAGATGTAAAGGTCTGTTCAAATGACCTAGCAACTGGTCTTTCTGAACACTAATTTTACATGACAAATCAATCTCTATGGTTTTGGAAGGGACTATTTTTAGTAGAAAATCCGATCTCATTACTGTTTCATAGTTACTCAATAATTTTTTTTCTCTAAATTATGAAATCCTTATTTTCCTTAAGAAATCATGTAACCACCTCACAGTTAAAATTCCTTTTCTACACAATTTTTCCATACATATCTTTTTTTGTACACCAATTTACCAGACCACTATCTTTAAAAACAATTACCAATATTATTTAACATTAATCATTCCTTACAGGGACATCTTATGTAGTTGTTTTGCACACAAAAGTTAAGTTTTACAACCAATTCACTACATGTGATTATATATCAGCAACATGTTTATATGACACAACTACAAGACGGTGGAATGATTAAGAAAAGAACTTTCTTGTTCTCTGTTATACAGAAATTAAATAGTTCTATCAATGAAGCACCATTCCTTTTTTTACGGATGTTTATGGCCAATAATTCATGAAAGTAATTGTCTTTCTTTCTAATGCGGGTACATCTACTTTTTTCCAAGCTCCTTGGAACGATTTGCTGATGCCTCCACAGCCGAGATGAGTGCATTCCTGGAAAAAAATATATATATATACTGACTCACAAAAGTATATCACTTTCATTATTGATGTTTTCAATAGTGAATAACATTTTCTTTAGAAAGTAACAACATATTGAATGCTACCTTAACCCATTACGCTCCAGCACATGCATGGCAGTGATAGTAGTGCCTCCTGGGGAACACACCTCATCCTTCAGCTGTCCTGGATGTTTGCCGGTTTCCATTACCATTGTGGCAGCACCTTTGACCTTTGCAAATATATTTCACAAATTAATCAAAGTCCATTCATTTATTACAAACATTTTGGTTCACATTTAGAACCTGATGAAAATAATTTAATAGTTCTTACCCAAAATATTTTCCTTCTTTTTAAGCACACATGCAGTTTTTTTTATCACTTTCAGTAGTAAAATTAAAATTTTGATACAAAACGTAATACTTACAGTCTGTGCAGCTAGTGTTTGTGCTAAATGACGAGGTAACCCCATTTTAACTCCTCCATCAGCAAGAGCCTCTATTGCAGCATATATCTGGAATACAAGAAACATACCTTACTATTTGCTTAATATAAATAGAACAGTCTGGATCTTCATTCTTGCACTTAGATGTCAAGTAATATTCACAATTGGATATCCTACAAGAATGGAACGTACATAAGCAGGACCTGATCCAGCTAGGCCACAGGCTGCATCGATCTGGTACTCAGGAACCTGAGCAGAAACACCTACTGACTTGAGCATAGAATTCATTACAGAACCATCTCCAGAAGTTGCAAATCTACCAAGGGTGTACACTGCAAAGGAAAAATATGCCAGTAATATTAGATAACTTTTGTTATAACTGTACAAACAAATTATATCCAATGAGAGAGAAACTTTATATTGTTACCATCATTAGAATTCTGTGAGCAAAAAATCTGTGTAAAAAAAAAATAAAATAAAAACAATTTGAAATAAATAAGAGCAAGAAAGTGAGAAAAAAAAAATATATATATATACATATATATATAT